AGGGAGCCCGATGTGGGGCTCGATCCCAGGACCCTGGGATCATGACCTGAGCCGAAGGCAGACGCTTAACCGACTGAGCCACCCAGGCGCCCTCTTTGCCACATTCTAATCACTCTTCCCTCTACCCCCATAACCCCATCAAGGACCCTTAGAAGGCCAGTCAGCACAGAAGAACTATGTCCCTTGCCAGTCCTCACCATCAGGGCACAGCAGCCTGTGAGGGCTCACCCCAGCTGGCCCATAGCCCTGTCAGAACCCTTCCCCATGCCTGATTGGCACCTTTCTTCCTCCCTCCTGAGTTACTTTTCACCACCAAAACTGAATAACTTTAATTGCTTTTTTGACCCAATTAAAACCATTTCCCTCTTAATAAAAGCGAGACATCCAAGACAGAAAATGTAAAAAGTACAAACAATGTGAAGAAGTAGAAAGGAACATCACCTTAACTATTACTTAAAATACTACCCTGAAGATACAACCATTTTTAACATTTTGGCCTATTTCCTTTTTAACCTTTGTTCCATACTTGTATTTTTCTTAATATGATACCACAAGTTTTCCCCATGTCATTAAAATCTTCTTAAACATCATTTAATGGCTGTGTAATAGTTCATTGTAGGGATATTCCAAAATGTGTTTAAGTATCTCCCTATAGATAGACATTTAGAATGTTCATGAGAGATTTCTTGAAGCAGCAAAACACAGGTTTCTGAATTAGGGGTGGGGTGGGGTACGGAGTGGCAAGAGAGGTTGGTATCATGGTCAGTGACAATTTTTTTTCCTCAACCCCATCCTTGTAGGAATACCTTGCTAACTTTTTCCAGTGATGCATTAGATTATTTTCTTTTCTTCCTTCTATGCATCTTTAAATTTTTAAAAGTTTATATGACCTTTATTACAATTACTATAGTATTTAGTATTATACATATATATATACACACATAAGAAGTAAAATGGAATATAATTCCCCTGTAATTATACCTATGATTGCTCTTAATTCCATAACTGAAGGTCACAGAGGATCTTGACATTTACTACAACCACATTTCAACTGTGTAAATGTTATAGGAAGCTCTTTAAATTATGAGATCTTCTTTCCCTTCAATGCATATTTTAAAACCCAACTGGAGTTCCACCTCTTTTAGAAAGCTTTCCCTAATTACTCCTTTCTTTATTTGCTCTGAATCAATCAATCAATCTTTATGGATTTTCCTTCTCTGAAACTTTTATAAACACTCCCAGATATATTCTTGAAACTCTTTGCCAGTTAGAATTCCATTATGATTAATCCACATTACTACTGAAATGATTCATCTTGTTTGTCTTTTTTTTCCTCCAAATTCATTTTAAGCAACTCGAGAGAAATGTATGGCTAAGAGCATACGTTCTAACTCCAGCAAACTGAGGTTCCACTGTTACTCATGTATGACCTAGTCAAGTTCTTTACCCCTCTGTTCTTTAGTCATCTATTAAATGGACATAATGATACCATATTTCCTCAATTATAGGATGTGCATTTTTCACATTTTAACATAACTGAAATCAAGATGCATCTTTCAATCAGTGGCATGCTAAGGTTTAATTGGCCATGTGTTCTTTCCTTTTTTAGTAACAGATAAAAATAAAGATGGATATTCTAATCAATGGTATCAGAGTCAATGACATATGTTAGTGTCTACCTTGTTGGGCTATTGTAAGGAAAATGAATTTTTTTTTTAAATATAAACCATAGCACATGGCAAAAGATGAACATTCAATATGTATTAGCTATTATTATGTCTTGCTGCACTTTTAGGTCCCTAATGGAGCCCTAGAAACACCATAACCACTTGGTCATTGGATGAATGATGATCTCATATTAGGAGTGACTAGGTAATGGCTGGAACATATTGACATTAAGATGAACTTTCCAAGAGCCTTCAAAGATCAGAAAAGATCAGAAGAGAGTTGAGTCCGGGGTCCTTATCAGCATGGAGCAGATCTCCCATGTAACTTACCTGGCTTTGTGACAGATGCTTGGAGTTGCTTCCCACTCTCCATGTCTTCAATACCATGGGCTGAGATGGAGTAGGGCCGCTTGGCTTTGTTCTTAAATATGATCAGTATGGAGTCACCCACCTCAGCATGAACCATTGGGCCTAAAGGCAAAACACAAGCCTGTGTGCATTATCTTTGCTCTTTTCAACACTGATGTAATATATATGTAGGTAGTTTTTAGCAAAATAAAACAAAGGTTAGTTTCCCCATTAGCATACTTCCTTTAGAAGGCAATATATGTAATGTTAAATACTCATGTAGTGTTTGGCAATCAGACCAACCTGGGTTCAAATCCTGCTTCGTTCACTTACTAGAGAGACCTTGGGTAAGTCAAGTAACCTGCCTGACTCAATTTCCTCCGCTATGAAATGGGTTTAATATCACCTTTCTCATAGGGATATAGTAAGAATTAAATAAGATAATGTATGTAAAGTGCTTATTTCAGTGCATTGAAACACAGTAAGTACTCAATAAATGCTTAAATTTTTACTACTGCTGAGACAGTCTCCAGGAAAAGCTATATCCACATGATATGGTGACTTCTAGTTCTGTATGTAACTTCTGTAAGTAACTTTGGCAAGTCTGAAATTGTTCATTATCTGGTAAATGGATATATCAATAATAATAACCACAATGAGGATCCAATGAAATATTGTGTATAAAAGGGATTTGAAAGATAAGAACAAAATTAAAACATCTATGTACTAATTTATGATCAATACAGGGATTTTACTAATGCATGTCCAATGCCATTTCTCAGTACTTGGATACCTTGGGGGTTCACGGCATTCCACTACATTCATAGAGAGATACGCTCATGGTAGGGTCTCTGAAGGCACCCATCCTCTCTTCACGGATTCAAACCATGGTTTTAGTTGCTTTTCTGAGAAGACCACTAAAGTCCTAAATAAATCTGAAATTTGATGGACTGTTTTTATCTTTGGAAGAAAATATTTAGTATGAATCAGGAAGTGTCTGAGAAAAAATGCTATTTTGTTTTTAATGATAAAGCTAGAAAAGAATGCATGTCTTTTAAATAGCAAAGTTGGATATAGTTCCAGATAGGTGCATGTGTATACATATATTAAAATGATTATTTGTCATTCATTACTACTTTAATTCCACATGGCTTGCTGTGCTGGTAGGAGTGAATGTCTTCTGATTTGGGGCCTGATAGGTCACCGGCAGCAGTAAAGAACAGATGGTTGCCTGTCCTGTGCCCTTTGGAACTCCAGGGGCACAGGCCTGTCCCTGAGCTGCAGAAAACGAGTGGATGGGCCTCATGGTCTCCTGGGAGAAGCACCACTGGGCTTGCCTCTAACGGAGTCATGGCTTTGTGTCATTTTACTGAGCAGACCCTCAGTTGCTTTTTGAGGGGCAACCCACTCTTGCTGGTAGGACCAGTGAGCTTTTTTCCTGGAGCTCATTTGACAGACACAGCTCAAAAGAAGGAATGTTCCTACTGGGGCTGACTCTTTTAGTGTCACAAATCAAGCTTGCATGCCAGTGTTAATAGACAGTGAGGGTAAGGGGAAGATGGGTGGGGCATTTAATAATTTATCAAGCTAGCTGTCCTGGTGCCTTTTTTAATATTAAGAAACACCGTGTAAAGTCATACTATTTATATGACTTGTGCATTTAAAAATGAGAACAGGAAAAAAAAAAGGGGGGGAATGGATTTCAGAAAGTCATCTAGATTAGCCCTCTGCCTCAAGATCTCATCCTCATGATGGGGTCAAGTTTGGTGACTCCCAGGTGGAAGTGGGGAAGGAAAGCCAAAAGAGCTTATCTGATCACCATGTCAGGCAGCCCAGGACATCAGACAGGCCCAGCAGGTCCTGAGAAGGCCAAGTTCAGGGCCTCCTGAACTCAAACCAGCCCTTCCATCCTTAGCACTTCTCTCATGGAAGGGGTTTCTCTTTGGCTTGAATTATTTTTATGGTGTGTTCTTATGGCTCTGTGCATGGAGAATCCAGGACCTTGAAGGAGTTATGCAAATACTCTGCCTGCTCTTCTGAGGCATCAGATCATTCCAAGTTAATATGTCCAGGCTCAGCAGAGGGATGGGAAAGGAACTTGAGGGCAACAGATGTTGGTTAGACAACCCTGATGATATGGATTGCTGGCTATCTGGTTGACCATTCTTTGAAAGAGCATGCTCCCTGACAATGGGAGGACAGGAAGATGTCATACTTGGATGGATGCTGTCAGGCTACTCTGTCCCTGCTGTCCCTTCTCAGGCCACCCTTGGGGCTGGCAGTGCACGGCTGTGATCTGTACCATACCCAGGAGTTCCAGATGCTTTTCTCGTGGTGGTCGGGCCTTGATCTCCACAAATTCACCATCGGTGTATTCTCTGTAAATCACCTTCCTGTACTGAGAGCCAATCCAGTTCTCAGTGTGGTTCATAAATATATCTCCGTATCTGTAAAGCAGAAGTATCAGAAATTAAAGTTGTCAGGAGGTAGAAAACCCTTGAGTGCTTCTGAGTGATTCAGGGGTACTCCGGAGCAGTGTTTCCCAAACCTGGCTGCCCTCAGGATCCCCCTGTGGAGCTGGACTTTTGCACCAGGCTCTCTGGAAGTGGGGCCAGGAATCTGCACTTGAAAGCACCTCAGGGGGTTCTGATGGGGGCAGGCAGTCTGGCCCAGGTCTTCCTTCTTGAGGACCATCATTGCAAAGCCCTGCTGGGTGCTGAATGGGACCAACCTTAGTTAGAAAGTCCCATGAGATAGCACGTTTCTTCTTGGGACTAACTAACCTCACACACGTGCACATGCATGCACACATGCGCACACTCACTCTCTACCACCCTGAATTCCTTCAGATTTCACGTGTATCTTTCTGTACCTTGTTCTACTTTTCCACTTTAAAGATCTCAAGAAAGACTCTGGGTTGTATATTGTGCATATACTCATATACAAATATAGGCATAGTTGATTCTTGTTATTCACAGGAGTCATGTTCTAGAAAGTCACCTCAAACACTGAAATAATGAATATTGAACCATTGTTCCTAGGGGAAATACAAGGTTAGGTTTTGTAGGTGTTCACAGTGAATTGCCCCAAGATGTGCCATTTTGGCATGTGGATTATTTTGAGCTGAAAACAATCAAGACCTAAAAGATCCAGGAAAAAATTTTGACCTTCCCTCTAACTGCCTAAAAGTATTTAGGTAGAGGACCCACCCCAAGAAGAGGCTATTACCATAGGTAACTACATTATAATATGAACTAGGGGTGGGAGACAGGGAGGAATTTAGCAACGTCTGTTTGTTAAAATTCTTCTCTCTGTCCCATTGTTTCCGAGTGGCCCAGCCAACATTTGTTTACCTAACATTTACTCTTTTTCATCTTCTTATGAATTGCTCTCCTTTTCTTTGAAGTCCCAGACTCCTTCACCCTTCTCCTTAGTTCAGGATGACATATATATCTCATTTTGCCTGACTGTCTTTGGAATCTCTCATGTTTATGTGGATTCTCCCTGTGTAAGTAAATTTGATTCTCTCGTGTCAATTTAATTCTTAGACCAGCCAGAAGAATTTGAAGGGTAGAGGAAAATCCACCTCCCCAACCCTCCAAAAAAAAACCCAGTTTCTTCAAACCTCTGGTCACAGTATTTTCATTGACAGATTAATAAATATCCTTGTTTTATGTGTGTTTCTGCTTAAAGACATCTTATTCAATATGTATTGTTGATTCATTTACTTTGAATTCTGGCCAATAGCACTGTAACTCATGCCTGAATGAAGCTTATCTAACACACACACTTCCTCTGTAAGGCACATCACGGTCTTCTTGCACTTGAGAACACTAGGCAGCCAAATAAATATTTTATTATTTATTTATATGTTATTAATATTATCATATATTTATTATTTATTTTATTAACTTTAAACTTCAATCTGATTTATATTTTTAAACAGCTAAGTCACCAACAAAACACACACACACATACAAAAGTAGCACTAAATAGACCACAAAGAGGATGTCTGTTTACAGTGTGAAAGCTGAAACAAGAAGACAGAGGGATGACTCGTTTGTCTGACCTAGCTGGGAATGTGCGTATTGGGTGACACAAATTCTTTGCTGCTTTATGCATCACTGTAAATGACCACAGAAGCGCCACAAAAATTGATTTTGGTGTTACAGATAAATTTCAGCAAGTAGGCAAATTCACAAACATGGAATCTGCAAATAATGAGGATCAACTATGTATTTAATCCATCATCAAGATAGATGATCACGAACGATGGGGAAAAAAATCTTATCGGTTTACCTACAAAATATAGTATGTCTCACAGCCTTCCATTTCCCTCCATTAAACTACCTGCACTCCAGCCTCAGCCACCTACATCACTTACCTACATGAACTGAGTTGTTCCTGGTCATTCTACCTGCCTCCCATGCTCCTCCCTTCCCTCTACCCTCTACGCTACAGGCAGAGTGATCCTAACCTGTACATTCAACCAAGTGAGTCCTGGTGGAAAACTCTTGATGGCTTCCCACTGCCCAATTCCCCAAACTCCTCACACCCCCTTCACTATCTGCCTCTGCCAACCTCCCAAGTCTCCTTGCCCAATACTGGCACCCACACTCTCTACGCTTTGGTCATTCTAAATATTCTCTCTTGAACTCCATGTGCCCTCCCCACCTCCAGGCCCTCCATGTGTTATCCCCTGGGCCAAAACCACCCTTGCCACCTCTTCAACTGGCCTATTCCTCAAGTCCCAGGACAAAGACTACTTCCTCTCAAGAAGCTTTCCCTGACCACCTACTCTCTCCCCGGCTCTCCCCCAGATGGGGCCATGTGCACCTGCTGTGAGCTCCCCCTGTGCCCTGCACTTCCCCTCTCATAGTGATGACCTTGCTCAATATGCTTGGTCAAATGTCTTCCCCGTGAACCATGAATTCTGTGTGGGAAAGGACCTCGCCTGCCCTTGTTAGCACCGTTTTGTCAGCACCTGGTACAATGCCTAGCACACAGTAGGTACTTAACAAATGCATGTATATCTTCGACCTAAACCACAATGCTTGCCAAGGGAAGAGAATTTTTCTTTGACTTTCCTTTTCCAAGAGTCCTAGTAACATATGTGGTAGTGACCCAGACACCTCTGGAGCCACGCTTTACTGCTTGCCAGCTTTCCTATTCTGCAAAGTAGGGTAATGACAATTCATCTGCCTCCCAGGATGGGTGTGAGGACTCTGTGGGTTAAGAGCTATAAAGGGCTGCGCCAGACACATACTGAGCACCATGTAAGCGCTTGCTCATCTGCCATCTTGCTGGGATGTCAGGTGAGATTCTGGGCCAAGGCTGACCAGATGGGTCAAGGACATTGTGAGGGTCACTATGAGATAGGGTTTATAAAAACCCTAGCAAAATGCCTGGCGCAGGGTGGGTGCTCAATACATGGCAGTTATTATCTCAAATCCCACCCTGGTGAAATTAAATGCCTATCAGTCCACAAGCTCAGGAGTACGAGGAATACAGCTTTATTCCCCTAGAGCAACTTCATCTCGGTGTTTGAATTCTCTCCCACTGCACAAACCCTGGCATTGTGCTGATGAGTCCCACTGGTTGCTTTTCTGGGATCCCGAGGCCTTCTCCGTGTGTTCTGAGAAAGCCTTCAGGGAAAGATATCTGGGTCCCAAGGCGAGGCAGAGGGTCTGTGCGAACCGGGATGATGAATGTCTCAGGGATAACCCACACTGACAGGTGGTTTGAAAACTAGGTGTGCTCCCTGCCAAGGCTTTGGCTCAAAAGGCAGAGGCATAACAGTGGGGGTGCGGATGGGGCGTTTGTCCCTGGACTCCCAGCTGCAGAGGTGCCACAGACATGCCTCTAGGGGGCCCGGTCATCTCCATCTGTACTGAGTTTCTTTCTACAGATCCATTATACTTCGAATATGTGAACAGGCTCTTGCTTTACTTTGCTTTCGTTTATTTATGGGCAATATCCCGAGCAGCAGGGCAGAGTGCAAACACAGCCAGCGCCCTCTCTCTCTCTCTCTGTCCCCTGGGAGACAATCCCAGAAGACTGAGGCTGGAGCCTCCTGCTGGCCCAGAGAGCTGGTGGTCGGAAAACCGAAATTACACCGAGTTTCAAGAAAATCATGACGGCTATGTTTCTTATACTCTCACGGGCTAGGAATATACATACAACAAAATTGTTATGCGATTATTTCTTTAGTTCTAGCCATCTTTAAGTAAAAATCATCATTTTAGAAAAGGCTGGGTCAGTCTTCTTTTCATTTTCTACTGCCCCAGCATCAGTCTTGAGCAGGTATCAGCAGCACTGGCTTTGCAGGAGAGGAATGTCTGGTTTAATAAATGGGTTGGTGAGTCATGGAACAAATTTTAAATCATCCTGTCCCTGAGGCGAATCTTTTTAAAGGGGACGAGTCATTTTGTTTCTTCATTTATCCATAAGGTGATGCTGTTCTACTCTCTTTTCCAGGAGTTTAAACCCTCAAAACAGGCCAACAAGTAAGAACAACAACAAAAAAGACATGTTAAGATCAGGAAGAGTTGGGTATAGAGGATTTGTGTGTGGTGTGGCCAGAGAGAATTGGGGAGCGGGGGGGTCGTAGGGAGCTGATAATACAGAACAAAGAGGAACAAAGATACGCAAATTAACATGGCTTGGTGATGAGAACACAGATTTGTCCTTGAAAAGGTCTTTGTTCAATTCCAGTGTCCATGACTAGTGGTTAGCCTTAACTCTCTGCACTGAGTCTCCTGGTCGGTATATGGGGACAGGGACTACCCAAGCAGCAGGTGTTGTTGAGTGGAGGGTATGAACTTAGGGGAGGAGGTCTACAGGTCAGCTCCAGGCAGATGCCTCTATACCTTGTTTCACTCTACCCCAGTGCACAGGGGCGGGAGGGGAAGTGTGCATGGGGGACCAGCGTTCCCAGGCTCCAGTCCTGCTGACCCTCTGGTGCTTAGCATTGGCTGACAGTACTCTCACGGGAGGGTCCATCTTGGGAACTTTCTGGGTACAGGGCCTACTAGAGAGACCAGTCTGCCCATCTCAATTCGGGGATCTCTACCAAAGCAATGCCTCCTACCCGCTCCTAGTCCGTTCCCTGCGGTCCTCAACCTACCCATCTGCTCATCTCGCTGCACACCCCATCTCTGCCTCCTTCTATACCATTTTGTCTTCACAGTCCCCCTGTCACTGGGCTCTGCCTCTTTCCCTAACCCTTTCACGCTAGGCGCTCGCTCAAAGGCACACGCATTCTTGGGACAGCCACACTTGGAACCGGCCACCACGAGCAGGGGATGCACTGAGCCTGCCCGGCGCGCCCCCAAATGACTTCAAACTCCCCTCCTAGGGTGCAGACGGGGAGCTTGCCTCATCTTTTGTGCTCATAGTAACAGTCTCTGTCCGCCAGAATTGTGCAGACAAAACCAGGGCAATGTTAGGTTTCCCCACTTGAAAAACATCTACAGAGCATGTGCAATCCCACCCAAGAGACTTGGCGGCTTCGCCCGCGGTACCTTTCCCTTCCTGAGTCCAAGTGCTGCTTTTCGAACTCCCAGTTTTTGTTAGGGGCATAATCCCATTCTACCTCTTCAGCGGCGATGTAAAAGGTTCTTATCATCCCGTATGGCTGCTCAGACGGGTCCTTGTTGCCACAGCTGCTGACCTCATATATCTGATTCATGCCTCTCGCGAAGTGGTGCATGGTGGAACAAAACAGCCTGAAAATACCTGGAAGAGAAACGCTTGGCATTGTGTGCCGAACTCGACTGTTTTGGTTTTGGCTTGGATCTGCTAGCAATCTACAGCATTTTGTTCCCAAAGAAATAATAGGTAAGGTGGATTTTTAAAATACCAATTTTATATCATATTTTCCAGCCAGACTCCAAGGGGAATAAATTACTGTGAATATATTTACTTACCAGGGGAAAATAATACCATCTGAAATTCCTTCGGAATCGAAAATGAAAACTTGCAAAGTTGCTACCAAGAAATAATTTCTCTGGGTCTTCCCTATTTTACACACCTGTTAGAAGAGAGTTGCTCCTGGAAAATCACTGATAGGTATGATTATCTTAGCCCAGCCCAGTTTAAAATGAACTAATTACCTGTAAGATTAATATTCTAAATTGAAATTAGGGCACATTTCTGAAATCATGTATTTTGCCCTAGAGGATTTCATAAACTATATAAAGTGAAATATACACATAAATTATTATTATTCATTAATCCTTTGAGCAAAGGAGGTTCTCATTACCAGTGATAGGTCAACATTATGCCAGGTGAAAAGAAAAAGAAAATCAACTAGATTTCCCTTCATAATGCCAACAATCATGTCTGAGAATTATGTAATTTTATAAACTGATGCAATTTTCTAGATTGGCATCAGGTAGATATATCTTAATTGAACTCACCGTAAAATCACATAAAACAAAATTATTGAAAGATATTAACTGTTAGTGGAATTACTGGATCAATAAATCTTCCCTTCCTTTCATAGAGGCTGTTCTTAGAGGCAAGTGATCAGGGATTGGTCTCATTAACCATCTACAATGCCCAGTGATAGCTTTTATCATGCTATACATATTGAAGTACTGCAAATTACCCCTTGAGAATGAGAAAAACCCACTGGTTCAGTGGGTTGTCCGGCTCCCTCCACACTGAGCAGGACCCTCACGAGGAAGGGTCTTTATGAAACCACACAGAAGACACTCTGAAGGCAAACATGGAAAGAGCTCCCGCTGTGTGTGTTGTTTGCCACACAGCCCATTATTCACGTGTTCATCATGTTCCTCGCTAGCCAAGGAATTATCTTCTCTAAGAATGAAGAGGAGTTTGGGGCGCCTGGGTGGCTCAGTTGGTTAAGCGACTGCCTTCGGCTCAGGTCATGATCCTGGAGTCCCGGGATCGAGTCCCG